ATATTAAAACATTCTATGCAATTCAAAAAAAAAAAAAAACTCACTGCTGTCAAGTCACATCCGACTCATAGAGACCCCTCCTTGGGGTTCCGAGGCAGTATCACTATGGAAATAGGAAATAGATTGCCCAATCTTTGTTCTGAGGAGTGGCTGGTGGGTTTGAACCATCAGCCTTCTGGTTAACAGTCAAACCCTGAGGCACTATGCCACCAGAGCTCCCAGGCAATTCAAAGTACCATATAAATTTAAGTTGTTACTATTGAAGAGAGGATTTAGGGTGAAAAGAGAGGAACTTTTGGTCTAAATGGATAGTGTAGAAAAGAAGAACTTGCAAATAATTTTAATAGCCACCTCTGTGGGAGAAAACACTCTGCCTACTAGTCAAGGAAAGACACTTCAGTAGAATAGGGACTTCGAAAACTGTGATTGGATCTATATCAAATGTGCTATTCTATGAAAGGATGAGTTTATTTTTCTAATAGAAAGTGTCCCATTAACCTTCACTTTTATGAGAGGAATAATAACTAACGTTTGTTGAACACTTATTATGTGCCAGATACTGTGCTAAGCACTTTACATTATTTTCTCCTTTAATTCTAACAATGACCCTGTAAGATGTAGATAATCTTGTCTCCTACTTGCCAGTAAAAGCACAGAGAAGTTAAGTAATATGCCCAAGGTCACACAGCTAGTAAATAAATGGTGGAGCTTAAAGGTCATCACAATAGTCTGGCTTCATATTTCCTCTTAGGAAGAGTTGCCTAAGTCCACAAAGTAGATACAGAAGCAGGGTTCAAGGAAGGCTATTACATATGAACCAGTTATTATACATGGTATTCTTAATTAGATCAATTTTAGTTAAAACTAAGATTACTCATTTCTCTGCTTTTGGTTGGTGTTCCTAGCCAAAAGATCTTTTTAAAAATCCAATTCTATATCAGCAGTAATGATGGGAGAAGGAATTTCCGTATTGCACAGACAAACTGGAAAAGATCAATGTGGTAAGGATGCAATGACAATGGCCTCATTAACCCAGGAGAACATGGAACCAGGGAAGGCAAAGCCCAGCATCTGAAGATACCAGGTTATTCTTTTCTAGACTTGTTCAGACTCAGTATCGCAGCTGACCCAAAGTTTTTACTGTAAAGTCAGTGCCATATAAGGGTAAACTACAGATAGGAGCTCTGGTAGCATAGTGCCTAAGGCACTTGACTGCTAATCAGAAGGTTGTCAGTTCAAACCCAGCAGCCACTCCTCGGAAGGAAGTTTGGGCAATCTACTTCCATAGTGATACTGCCTCGGAAACCCAAGGAGGGGTTGCTATGAGTCAAGTCCGACTTGCTGGCACATAACAACAACAACAGAGATAGGCTGTCTCTTTCTACATATGGGCAATTTAAGCTTATGAAAAATAGAAGTTAAAGTTCAGGTTTACATAATTCTATATTAAAACATATTTTTTAAGAGTGTGTTCCATATGACGGTCATTCTGAACTAAGGAATGTTTTTTGTAATCTAATGTATAGAAGCAAAGGGGCTATGTAAGCAGTTATTACAGATTAATACTTTGATAAATGTGTTACTAGTGACTTTAAAGCAGTTGTCTTTATAGCAAATTGTTTCTCTTTATATATCCCAATGTGTGAAATGCCCCAAGATGAACAGTGATAAGAGAAATTGGCTTGAACATTTTTCTGGGATAAATTCTCTTCAAGAGTTTGACTCAGATTTTAAGACTCTGGTTTAATTCTGTCATGGAGTTACAGCACTACTTGTTGTACAGTACATACCTACAGAATGGGAGTGAACTGCAGTTTACCTCATTCAAGTTAACTGAGCCAGTCTAGGTTAGGACAGGTCCTGAGCAAACCAGCCTTCTGGGTGGCCCTTGGCTTTATGCAAAACCCATCCTGGGGAAATGTATAAAGTAGATTAGTATCCTGGACTAAACCCCAGATAGGCCATCACCACAAAGTTTATATTCCCCTCTGGGTTCCTCAGTATAACTTCCATCAGCTTCCATTCCACTAGCCTCCCCTCTGCACACTCACACGACAAAGACAGCATCAGGGCCTTTAGCGAATATTCTCCTTTTTTTCCTGAAACTTTTCTTTTTGTCCTACTGTTCATTCTTTGGGTCATTGACCTCTCACAGACACAAATTCTACATGGAAGGCCCTTCTCCCCTCCTTGGTGATAATTCCATTTTAAGAGAGACTTAACAATTACCCTAAGGAGTTCTGGTGGCATAGTGGATAAGGCATTGGACTGCTAACCAGAAGGTCAAACCCACCAGCTGCGCTGCAGAAGGAAGATGGAGCAATCTATTTCTGTAAAGATTTACAGCCTCAGAAATCCATTGAGGGTTGCTATGAGTCAGAATACACTCTGTGGCAGTGAGTTTGGTTTTTTTGTTTTGTTTTGTTTTTGTTTTTGTTTTTTTAACAAAGACAATAGCCACTGGACCTTTATACTGAATGCTTAAAATGACTCCAATGGTGGAAACCTCAAAACAGGTAGATGTTGTGGCATATCTCCAATCATAACAGGAAACTATCTTCTCAGATGAATTCTGAGATGACTCTGCTCCTGCAGGACTAGAATGCAGGTCTCCTTATTTATAATCTAGTTATCTTCCTGCCTCACCTGCTGACTTTAACTTGTTGTTGTTGTTGTTGTTGTTATGTGCCGTGGAGTTGGCCCCGACTCATAGCGACCCCTCCTTGGGTTTCCGAGGCAGTATCACTTCGGAAGTAGGATTGCCCAACCTTCCTTCCGTGGATTGGCTGGTGGGTTTGAACCACCAGCCTTCTGGTTAGCAGTCAAGTGCTTTAGCCACTATGCTACCAGAGCTCCTGACTTTTACTTAGAGCAATGTTATTCAGTCAGACTTTTCCTTGTATGAAAACAACAGCAACAGAAACAAAAACCACTGATTATGTTCCCTAAACCCAACGACCACTTTTGATATTTATGACTAGATACTATTTTGAATGGTATTTTGAGCTTTAGTTCATGTCTGTAAATATTAGTACTAACAATATCTTGACATCACAGGACTAGTTACTATAATGTTAACTTCAGACATCTCAGTAAACTGAATGTTTTTATATTTTATACTGTGTTTGGCCTTTGCAAAGCCAACAAGATTCAGGATCTGAGGTCCAGGTTACTGAAGAGATTACATCAGCATCCACCCCTTGGTAGATTGCATCATGGGAGAAATTCACAAGGAACCCAGATGTATTTACCTTGCTGTGATCTAGCACAGCAAACAAGCCACTAGGCTCTGTGATGTCCTTTTTATTGCCTAACGTTTAAACAGTACCAGTGAAACGAATCTAGTTTTAAGTGAATTTTACTTTTACCTCTGTGATTGAGATACAAGGCTTTTCATCCTAGTAAAGTGCTTTCATACTGAAAATAAAATAGAAAAAAAGGAGAGAAATACTTAAACACGGCCATGTAATAGGCCACAGCTCTGTGAATATTCTGTGTGCTCCTAAACATCATCTGTACTTACTATTTTATAATTAACGTGTGTTGAAACTGAGAACTTAATCTAGAGCTAACCTAAAAGATGAGAGCTCTTTTCCCAGTCTTATCTATTTCAGCCAGATTTTGTTTTGGGACATAAAGAGAATACAACCCCCAAGCTTTGTGCCCTATAAATTGTGTAGCACAACAGGCAGATAACCAATTATCTAACTTCAATTATCTGTCCTAAGTACATTATATGCAAAAAATATATATCTACTGTGTAAATTCAGGTCTTACTACTGTAGGGAGACTCATTCTTCCTATTGTCAGCTGAATTCTCTGTCATATCTTCAAGTAAGCAAGCCTTATATCAAAGTGGCTAAAAAAAGTTGTATATTCACAAGTTGGGGCTTTTGATCTATCTCTCTAATTGGAAAAGAAATATTTAAGATTACCTGAGCCCCAAAAGGTTATATTGGTGTACAGAGCAAGGGATGATGACCATGTGGTTTAAATTTTAAAAGATACCATTGTTGAACTTTAAGTATTAATGGTGTTATCTAAGCCAAAAGATTATGTTCCTGTGCCCATCTTGTCTTTTAGAGGCCCACTGTTGTAAAGTAAACCTAACTAAAATTAAACTGCCTTGTCTTTTTGATAGAATTTTTACTGCAGTTGCATATGGAGCTATGGCCATTGGAGAAACACTTGTTTGGGCACCTCAGTATTCTAAAGCCAAATCTGGGGCTGCACATCTGTTTGCTTTGTTGGAGAAGAAGCCGACCATAGATAGCCACAGTCAAAAAGGGAAAAAACCTGTGAGCACAACTATGATTTTAAATTCCACTTATTATGAATTGTACATATACATGCTGTCTGGATAGAAACTCAAATGATGACTTTATCTGATAACTTTGCAGAAGATAGTGTCATAGCAACATAAATAACTGATTATGGGAAAAGGATAGCAATGATTGTGGCACAATATGAAAAATGTCAGCAATGTCCCTGATTTCCAAATATGGAAGTTGTTACGTTGGTGACTATCTTGTGTATGTTTTCACCACAATACAAGTTTAAAAAAAAAAAGGAACTAATTACGTAAAATAACTGTTATGCCTACAAATGGAAAGAAAGGAGTCTTAATCAAATATTCAACTGTAGTAAAATGTATAAATATTTATATTTAAAATATACATGCTGTTACTTTATTTGCCAATGTCATAAAAATGTTATTGAACAAAGGGTTGATCTTGATATTTTATATAAACAGCAAAGGTTTTAGTCTTGGATCAAGGCTTGTATTAGGATATTTTGTATATTCATTGATAATATATGCAGTGTAAGTAATGTCCTGCTTCAGACACAATTTTTAATAGGAAATATATATGTTTATTAAATTGACCCCTCACACACACACACACACACACACACACACGGTTAGCCACAAACTCTGAGTGTGAATAAATAAATAAATAAAAAGAAATAATCCAGAGATTGTATGATTGTATGCTATCAAAACAATAATAGTCCTATACATTAAATACATATCCAAGTTTAACATCTTTCCATACAGACATTTTAAATTTAAAAGTAAGAATAGCCATTAGGTATATACTTAAAAGAAATTTTTCATTTAAAATTAGTTCCCTCTAGAACTTTAATGCTAGAATTATATATCTGGCAGCTTAAAACAATATATTATCACTACAGCTACATACTTGTTAAAAAAAAAAAAGAATGCCCATTGTTAGTGACAGAAATAAAAAGATCTTGAAATTCTCTAAATATAATGCTTAAATATACATCAAAGTCAAAACAGGATTTCATACTTATTTTTTGGAATCTAAAATATATAAGAAGCTATTTATTTATTTGAAATCTTAATACTTAGGTGTATAATAGTATTCTTATTCTTATTTCTTTCTAAACATTATGATAGAGGAATTGATTGGCTCATCAATCTCTATCTTCAGGACTGTATATAATTGTAGAATAGTGAAATATTTCTTATAAAAACTATACAATTGATCTCTTTAAACTTTATTTTATTTAATATGCAAATGCTTCTATATATCACACCCTATGATTTTAAAAATTCATGTCTGGTAAATCAAAATTGGCAAATATTCATAATCATTGAAGTTAGGTGGTAGGCATATGGCAGTCCATCACATTATTCTCTCTACTTTCATATATGTTTGAAAGTTTCCATAGTATTAGAAATAGTAAGAATAAACTTTAAAATGTCTTATAGTCTAGAAATTTCCTAGGAGATATTCCTGGGACTTGCCAAAAAGCACCAGTGTAATCACAGATATAATTGCTATCTCCATTTTTCTGTGGTACTCTGGGGGTTTTTTTTAACCATTTTTGGACAAATAAAACTCATATTATAGAGGGGAAAACACAAATATTGCATAAGCCACAAAAAAGAAAACAAAACTTTTCTATTACTAGACTTAATGTTTTGGCATATATCCTTCCAGATTTTTTTTTTCCTAGTTTCCGAATTCTTAACCACATCTTCACTTTTCATTCCTTTAAGAATAGAATAATATCATTGAACACTTCTTTAGTATTCCTACTCTCCACCAGCCCCACCTCCTGCCTATCCACTGGGCTCAGAACATGTGGAAAATGACTCTAAGGAATAAATTTGAAAGCACAATCACCACTATTGTCATGAACACACAAGAAACATTAATTTATACCTTCTTAGTTTATGTTTAGCCTAACAACAATAATATGGTTAAGCACTTGACTAATAGTTGAAAGGTTGGTGAATGGAACCCACCCAGGTACCTTGGAAGAAGGCCTGGTGACCCGCTTCTGAAAGGTCATGGCCTGGAAAACCCTGTGCAACACAATTCTACCCTGACACACTTGGGGTCACCATGCGTCAGAATCAACTCACCAGCAATAATGAACAACAGAAACAAAAATTAATAATACTTAAAATGCAATTGACTGGGGACAAGTATGAAATCCAAAAGAACCTAAAATCTTATTTAATAGATATAAAAAGGAAAAGACTAATCATTATTTAGTGATAGCCCTGGAAATATCTTTTCTAAAAATCACTGGTATGTGTAAGTATTGGTTTACAAGTCACTAACCACTAAAGACATTGAAACACAAGACAGCACTAAAATTTTAGGTAAGTCACACTGCCAAATAATGATCAATTGAAAATGAAGTTAAATCTGATTCAAAACATATTGTATATTAACTATAAAACATGGTGCAACTTCTAAAAGTATTATGGATATGCACAGTTTATGAAGACCTCATCTGTTCTGAATCATGCAATAAAGGTCTATATAGCACAAATCAAATACTAGAAAGATATATTTATTCAGAGCTACTGGTCAAACAGCTAATCCACAGAACAGACTGTCGGTAGTGAAGTTATTCATGGGTGAAGCCAAAGGAAGTCAGTGCCTTTGAAGGACTTAAAGTCCAGGAGTGGATATAACAGAAATGATTAGAGAGAGAGAAAGACAGACATATTTGTGTATGTAATAGTAAACTGTATACAAACAGAAGTGATAGAAACTAACTGATGTGGAGTAAGCAGCTCTACAGAGGTGAATATGGTGATTTAAATTAAAATGGTTGTGGACAATATACTCAGTTTTCAGAAAATGTCCAGCCAGTAAGCTATAAAGTGTTACAACCTTCCTAAGTCACCCTGCTAAATACTGTCAACCTCCTTTCACAGGACACATGTGAAGGGAATTTAGAATTTCGAGAAGTCTCTTTCTTCTATCCATGTCGCCCAGAAGTCCTCATCCTTCAGGGCTTATGCCTCAGTATCGAGAAAGGGAAGACAGTGGCATTTGTTGGGAGCAGTGGCTGTGGGAAAAGCACTTCTATTCAGCTTCTGCAGCGGTTCTATGACCCCCCGATAGGGCAAGTGGTAAGATTGAATTTAACCCCTGAAGTTAATATTATTCTTAAACATTCATGTGGGCTTAAGCATCTTCCCTAGTTTGGGTGGGGCAAACGGTACAGAAGATTAAAAATTAAAATCCTCTATTTCAGACCTCTGGTGGTACTGTAAAGCATTGGGCTACAAACCAAAAGGTGAGTGGTTCGAATCCACCAGCTGCTCTGTGGGAGGCAGTCTGCTTCCAAAAATTTAAAGCCTCAGAAATCATACGGGTAGTTCTACTCTGTCCCATAGGGTCACTAGAAGTCAGAATTAACTTGATGGCAGTGGGTTTGCTTTTGACTTTTTATCTTAGTCCTTAACTAAGAGGACAAGCAAATAAATAACAAAAAATAGGACTCTGAGTCAAAATACAAAAGCCCAAAGATTTCTCAACCTTGATGGCAGTAGAAATTTTTATCTTATAAACCAATTTGTTTAGAATATGGGTATTGAAAGACAGGTCTAATGTCCACTTTACATGGACATTAGACTTTCGTTATTCTGTGCTGGTTTAAGACAAATAACTTCCTTCGCCTCCATGGTTCAGCCATCTTGCTATTCCCAGTAGCCACAGCAGCACCGCCAACCTCTCCACAGCTACCAAAACCTTATGCATGTTTAAGGCTTATTTGAATCAGGTTTGTTAAAGTATATCTCTTAATCTCAAAAGAAAGATGCAACCTTTCCTTCCTTTGAACCCCAAGAACTGTTTTTCTTACTTGGCATTTTTTCCTCTCTCCTGTATTCTGATTTTCCATATCCTCTCCCCAACCACCATCATCACACACACACACACACACACACACACACACACCTCTTCTTGGCAAAGGCTGTCTTATTAGTCCTCATTCTAATGCTATTTATGGTCTCTTACACATCACAGATTCTCAGTGAATAATTGCGAACTGGAATGGTCCAAAGTGGCTCCCTTGAACTAGATACGGCTCCTCTAACCATTTACACAGATCACAGCATAGCACACTCCCCATTTTAAGCCCTCCAATGGTTTCCAGACTGAAGTCAAATAAACCACAGTCTATAAAAATCAAACAATGTCCTTTATGACCTGGCACTTTCTATTCCTGAGTTCATTGAATTATGTGTTAGTGTCTTTATTGCTTGCCTCTCTTAGTTAGAATGTAGGCTTCAGGATGGCAAGAACTTCATCTTATTTATCACTATTTCCCCCATTGTAAAGAGTCATCACATGGTAGGGATGCTCATCAAATATAACTGAAAGTTGCTGTATGTCCATGTGACTAAAGATGACTATGTGCAGAATAAGGAAGACCGAAGAAGAATGGATATATTTGAATTATGGTGTTGGTGAAGAATATTGAATACACCAGGGACTGCCAGAAGAACAAACCAATCTACTTTGGAAGAAGTACAGCCAGCATGCTCCCCTTAGAAGAAGAATGATGAGACTTTATCTCACATCGTTTGGACATGTTATCAGGAGGGACCAGTCCCTGGAGAAGAACTTGATGCTTGGTAAAGTAGAGGGTCAGAGAAAAAGAGGGAGACCCTCAACAAGATGGATTGACACAGTGGCTGCAACAATGGGCTCAAACATAGCAATGATTATGAGGATGGCACAGGACCTGGCAGTGTTTCATTCTGTTGTATGGGTCACTATGAGTCAGAACCAACTCAACAGCATCTAACAACAACAATGAGCAGAATGACATATCTCTACATGTGGACTGCTGTATCAGTCTTTATCTTACTTTCTAACTGGGCTTACAGAGAGTAGAGTCTTCTTAACAGTGGAGAAAGCGGTTGATCTTTTTCCATCTGACTTAAGAACAGACCACAAGTCTTTGCTCTAGACTCTAGGCAGGTCTCTAGAATATGTGTCATTAGGTAAGTTTAGGAGTCAGAATATTAACCAGCTACAAACTGTTCACTTCTATACAATAGATAATTTATGAGCCTTCCTTGGGTAACCTGACCCTTTGAAATAGCTTGAATTCTTGTCTTTCTTGTTATGATTTGTGTATGTCTGACTATGAAATCATTACAGTAGACCGTAACATGATACACTTGTCAGATCTTAACATGCCATTCTCCATTCTGCTTTTGGCAGCTCTTTGATGGTGTAGATGCAAAAGAACTCAACGTACAGTGGCTCCGTTCCCAAATAGGTATAGTTTCCCAGGAGCCCGTGCTCTTCAACTGCAGCATTGCTGAGAACATTGCCTATGGTGACAACAGTCGTGCTGTGTCACTGAATGAGATAAAAGAAGTGGCAAATGCAGCAAATATCCATTCCTTTATTGAAGCTCTCCCTGAGGTGAGAAAATATCTGAGATGTTAAATTACAAAGCTGCCAAGAGAGCTTAAGTAGTTAGAGAGCCTCCGTGGTTGTTTTTATGTACTCCTTTAGTGGTATAATTTTATTAATTGCAAGCATCTAACTTTAAGAGCAAAGTTTAACATTTTTATGTGATTATCTTTTTCCTTGTTGTTTTGAAATACTTTAAATAAATTTGATGTGAAAGTAGAAGGTAATGTGAGTTAATAGATGGTGAAGTACTTTTCTCAATTTTTTTATTTATACTTTAATTCAAATAATTTCTTTATACAAAAATAATGACAAAGGTTGCTGTTTGTGATCAGATTACATATGTAAATGAGGTGGTAGTGTTTACTGTTGGTTGCTCATTTATTTGCAACAAAACCCAAGAGCGATCTCAGCACTTGTTGGGACACAAATTTTCTAGAGTAGCAAAATTTGGAATATTTAGATGGTTCTCACCCACTGTTGCCATGCTAATTTAAATAACCAAGACTTGCTTTCTTAATTACATGTTCCTGTAATAGAAATACAACACACAAGTTGGACTAAAAGGAGCACAGCTTTCCGGCGGCCAGAAACAAAGAATAGCTATTGCTAGGGCTCTTCTTCGAAAACCCAAAATTTTATTGTTGGATGAGGCCACTTCAGCCCTTGATAATGAGAGTTAAAAGGTAACATCCTCTTCTGTCATCCCAGAATATAATACCAAATAGAAGCATCCAGTATCAAGGTCAAATTTGGAGAAAATCAAGGTCAATTTGGAGAAAGAAAGGTCTGGGAAGATTTGTAGTCACAGGGTCACCAGCCTTGTTTACAGGCTTGTGGGGAGGTGGGAGAAAGGTGGAACAGAAGGCACCTCTATTCTGAAAGTTTTCCCCTTTGAATTCATCTCAATATCAAAAGGGGACCAGTTCTTGAAATGTTTCTCCATTGCAAGAACAAGAAAAATTACTTTCCTACTGTATGATTTTTACTCCAATGATGCTATACAAATTAATAAGGCAATCTACATGTGTAAAAATGCAGTGTCAATACAGGCTAGTGACTCCACCTTCTGCAGGCTACTAGTCTGCTCATTTGAGCAGGAAATGATGTAGCAAAGTGACAGTATGCATATTCTTCAAGCTATTTCACATGTTTGATTTTGGTGTGTCCTCCTCTTTCTTGCACATGAAAATCAAACCAAACCCACTGCCACAGAGTCAATTCTGACTCATTATAGAACCCCATCGGGTTTCCAGGGCAGTAAATCTTTACGGAAGTAGATTGCTCAGTCTTCCTTCTGCAGAGTGGTCAGTGGGTTTGAACCACCAACCTTCTAGTTAGCAGAAGATTTTAGGTGCCTTAGGCACCATACCACCAGAACTCTTTTCTTGCACACAGTGGGCACTTATTTGTTAAATGAATATTAATAAGTAAGTAATAATCATTAATATTTATAGATGCTCATTATGTGCAATTAGCTCAATCCTCACAACTTGATGTATAAATTAGCTTCTTTGGTTAGCACGCACATTTTACACATCAGCATACTAAGGCTTAGAAAGATTAAGTAACTTCTCTAAATTCTAACATACGTGTCCAATTTAAGAGCTCATGCTGTTAACCCCCATACAATTGCTATTTGTAAATGAATATCATTCTTGGTTCCCAGTGAAAGAGCATGCAATGAAAGAAAGAAACAAGGCTTTTGGCATCAGACAAATCTGAGCTATAATCTGGATTCATCAGGCACTAGCAGTGTACCCTCGGTCATTTGACCTGGATTCTAGGAGCCTCAGTTTATTCATCAGAAAGAAGGGAAAATCCCTTAACTTTACAGGATCATTGCAAGGATTTAAATGAGATATCCATCTTTGGAACCGTTTATATATTCAACAAAAACTGGTTTTCATCCTCCGTTCTTATATCCTCTATCTAGCATTATACCTTCATTGTTAGCTGAGGTACTGTTTAAGTCAGGACACTTGTACCACAAACTCCTTCCAAAAAAGAGAGAGAGAGAGAGAGAGAGAGAAAGAGAGAGAAAGAGAATAAGGTAAATAAATTAGACAAATCTTCTTAAGTGTGAACATACTCCTTTCTGGCTTTGAGTTTGGAACCTGTTAATTACCACTTACTTACATACAAACAACCAATTCATTTTTACTCATTGTCACAGAAGCTTTTCCAGTAGACAGTCTTACTAGATGTGTCTATAATTATTTTTCCCGGATGTCTTTTGAGTAAGGTGAATATTTCACAAAGTACGGGACTTTCCTTGGGGATAAGCAAATAAAATGAAGAATGTTATTAGAATACCCTGTTGCTTTGGCTTAGACAGGTTTATCAGCATCTAAACAGAGCCTATGATCACAACTCTTTCTTGCTTCCAGGTGGTGCAGCATGCCCTTGAAAAAGCCAGGAGAGGGAGGACGTGCCTAATAGTGGCCCACAGACTCTCCACGATACAGAATGCAGATTTGATAGTGGTTCTTCACAATGGAAAAATAAAGGAACAGGGAACTCATCAAGAGCTCCTGAGAAATCGAGACATTTACTTTAAATTAGTAAATACACAGTCAGTGCAGTGACATGATTGGAAAGTTAGCACTTGTTTTGATCCTTGTTAGTAATTATTTGGCTTGCTTTGCTCCCTTGTTATTGCATGTATCAAAAAAATACTTAGAATCCTGCTACTCAAGTTCTGTTTACACATGATCTTTCCTTCTGTTTTTTTAAAGGAAACTATTTGCTAAATTCATGTTAGCAAGAGAATGCCTGTATCCCTCACTTTATGTTATAGTGCACGTTGCTTGCAAAGCAGCTTTCTGTAATGTGGACTTATTTTCCCATCAACTTCTGCAATAAAATTGGGAATATGTTCCCACCAGGAAAAATTATCTGGTTAACTAAGTTGAATGGTTTTAGCAGAAAAAAAAAAAAAAAGTAAAATGTAGTAGAGCTTGAGTCACTGAAGAAAGAACAACTTAGATTTGGAACTTCCAGGGCTTTGTAGCATATGTTCAAGTACTTCATGCTAATTCCTTTCCTCCTGACCATAGGAATTTCATCTCTAAGTAGATATCCACTCTTTCTCATAATTCTGGTTTATCTCTTTGTTGAGGATAGGAAGCATTGTGATATAAAATTTCTGCCAGAATAAGGTAGCTATCTCTCACTTCACCAGTAAGTGAAATGTCTGAATGAACCAACTAGAAGATCCTATAGCCTTTTCAGAGTTGGCAGAGTAAAGCAGAGGTCTAGCTGTGCATATAACACTCACTTATGTAAAATTAGAGGTACTAGCCACTCCATGGGAGAAAGATGAGGCAGTCTGCTTCCAGGTAAAGATGTATAGCCTTGGAAACCCTATGGGACAGTTCTGCTCTGTCCTATAGATAGCTATGAGTCAAAATCAAGTTGACAGCAGTGGGTTTATTTGTTTGTTTGTTTGTTTGTTTGTTTTGGATTTTCTTGTAGGTGAAATATTAAAACTTCCTTTCTCAATTATTATTCTTCTATCAAATAATTTGTTTAAATTGTATACATACTTCATTTTGTATATATATGATTTAAAGTACTGTGTAAATACCAATACTGCTAAAATGAGTCCTATTTTCCACTTTTCTTAAATAAGCAATGTTATCTATTAATTTCATCTTTATTCTTAGTATTTTCTTCCATTTACACTGACATCTACATTCAGCCTCCCTAAATAAAGTTCATTCTGCAATAGTCTTAACTATTGTGGAAGAAAATATTGCAACCATTTATATATTATGCTCCTTTTAATGCAAATTAAAAATAGGATTGGGGTTTTCAGTCAGATGAATGTTTTTGTTTCCACACTGCTGTGCAAGGATAACAAGCTCTTGGTAGTATCTCTCTTCAAAACAGAAAAGAGCAGTAGTGTACCGATGTCCTTAGGAGCCTGTGAACAGCAGAACCTCAGGCTCCACTTCTGTAATTCCTCCTAGACTAGTAACTAGCTGCATGGCTATTTATCCCTTGAACCTATCCACCTCAGTCTCAAGTGCTCTGAGGCTATGCCTGTACATTGTAGGTTGAACCTCCAGATGTCAGTAAAACACTTTCCTTTCTAATTAATAGTTGCACCTAATTTTTATTCTCTTTTTATTAAAAAAAAAAAAAATGTTAAAGGATGCTCCACATGTATCATTCTTTTAAATTAAGCCACTGCCCACAGGAGACCAAACAACCATGAAACATGGGGTCCTAAGCAGCTTATTCACATCTGCAGGGTTATCGGCTGATGAAGGCAGAAAGTAAGTAGAGACCAGCTGCTTTTTGGGGACTTCTGCAATCTAAACGTTTAGAATTGCTGTGCTGTTCTTAAAATGGTTTTAAAATACAGTGATTTCATTAAAACAATTGTTTCAGTGGAATTAAAGCAACTTGTGCTCAAAATGATTTCAATTAGCTGTGGAATTATTTACTTTGATAAGCTCAAGGTTTTAAGAATACTTTTATTTTATTTTTTTTTTCAAAATAAAAATTTGCCTATACAGCTTATCAGTTTTATAAGTCTGATGCTCTAATTCCTGAGTTTTTCATCAAAAAGAGAACTCTGCAGCTGAAAAAAAGCTACATCAGGAACTGAGAGAGAGAGATACGAAAGGGTACTTTAGCAGATTTAAATCTAGGTCTTAAATTTGGAATCACTCATTAAGGCATTTATAAATTTATTTTTTTTACCTATAATACATTGAAACATACAGCTAACAGTTTGATACTTATTTTAGGACTTAAATAATGAATGCCAGATTATTCAGGGTGCCAAACCCATGAATTTAAGATGCATTCTCTTCTTATGCTGCCATCAGCAGCCTCAACTCATGGTAACTCCATGCACAATAAGAAAATATTATTTGGTCTACACCATTGCTTGCAGATCAGTCCACTGTGACCCACAGAGTTCTTATTGGCTGATTTCCAGAATTAGATCACTAAGCTTGTATCCCTCTCAGCCTGGAAGCTCTACCGAATCCTGTTCAGCATCAGAGCAATATGCAATCCTTCAGTGACAAATGGATGGTGGCTGTGCATGAGGTACATTGGCCAATAATCAAACCTAGGTCTTCTGCATGGAATTCTGCCAAGGAACCACCAATGCCGCTAGGTATTTATAAAAAAACAAAAAACAAAACTCACTGACATCAAGTCAATCTGACTCATAGCAGCCCCTCCTTGGGTTTCCGAGGCAGTATCTCTATGGAAGTAGATTGCTCAATGCATCTTATTTTTCTTGTCTCTTCTCTTGTAACTACATCCAAGTCCAAAGGCAGAACGGAAGCCAAGAGCAAGGGCTCTCAGGCAGGTCTTAGATGAGGTCAGTATGAATCATGACTAGCAGAAATCAGTGTTTTCCTTAGACTGGGAAGTCCTTGAGAGTAGAGAATATGTCTTAAATCTTGAAAGGGATTAGGCCAGATCTGAAGGAAATAGGCAATGAAAGTTCAAGTATCAAATTATTTCAAAATTAAATAAATTAAATCAATTTATGCAATAAGATAGAAGGCTAAAGTTAACAAAATTTGCAAAAGAATGGAACTAAAATATCTTTAGGTACTTAAGCTTGGATAGACTTGAAGTCAACTCTCCAGTGGATCACCAAAGACTAATAATATTAATAGATAATATTGATAAAATAATAGATAACAAGGCAATGGCAATCTATCATTTTTGAAGCAAAATCCAATTCACAGCCACCAGATCATCTTTCAGTAAATGTGTGCTCCTCATCTTAGTATCAATAATGCACACTTACTATGATATGTCTTCTCTAATTAAATTGCCTGTATATGGAATATCTGTCACATACAGGGCATTACAAGAAGAGAGAAGGCATTGGTGGTTCTGTGGTAGAATTCGTACCTGCTGTGCAAGAGACTCAGGCAACGAACTCCAAGCACAGACACTTATCTTTCAGTGGAGTCTTGTGTGTTGCTATGATGCTGAACAGATTCCAAACAAAGATGTCCAATCTACTAAGATATCTGTCAATCTACTTCTGAAAATGAGCCAGTGAAAACCTTGTGGAGCACAACAGTCCAGTCCCCAAGAAATCATGGTGATGACACAGGATGGACAGCCCTTTGTCCTGTTCTGTTGTGCGTGTGGTTACCATGAATCGAGGGATGACCCAACAGCAACTAACAACAATACAATAAATATCTGGCCTATAAAAGCCTGAATACAGTGAAGAAGGCAGCTATTCAGAGAGGCCAGGATCCATCATAGAGTCATCCCATAAATGTTAGTGTGTTACAGCATCCCTTAACCATGCCACACTCTTATCCTTTGAACCAACCTTCCTAAGAGAAAGGGCTATTCAGTGAGTCCTAAAATAATTGAAACACCAGTCAAATAGAGACATTTTAACAAGGTTAAAGTATCAAACAGATGTTAGTGGAGAGGAAAATAAATAAATAACCAATCATGTCACGCCTGTTTTATAACTAACCCAACCAACTTACTTTATATCTTGCCCCTCCTTAAAACAAGCTGTAGTGTGTTCTAGTGTTAAATCAACTTAGATCAGACCTAATAACATGGTTTTCTGCCTACTGTGTGTCAGTTTCATAGTATGCATAGAGGTGATTTGCAAATAAATGACTTATTCTGTGAAAATATTTCATAGGTTAGTGTCAATCTATGTTATTTATTGTTGTTTTGGATCAGAGCTCTTATTTCAAGAGGGTTTTATGAAATGGAATCATAGATAAAAAATGTCACCCATAAGAACTAGTCGAGGTAGGAAACTAGAAAAATTGGAAGTGGGAAGAGGAGGATAGACATTTCCTATCTTAATTTTTTCCTTAACAATAATAATAACTACTGAATTTGAAACATCTTTTTACAAGACATAAGAAATATAGGGTTTGGGAGAGTTCCGGCAAGATGGCGGACTAGGCAGAAAGACTGCACAGACCCTCTTCAACAAAGAAAAGGGAAACTAATTAACACAGACACAGAAGATAATCCTGCACCCCTGAGCCTTGAAGGGAAGGATA